CCCTGCGCCGCAGCACCAGCCTCGACAGGGACTGGGCCATCACCTTCGAGCAGTTCCTGGCCTCCCTGCTCACCGAGCCCGCCCTCGTCAAGTACTTCGACAAGCCCGTGTCCATGATGGCCAGGATCACCAACGCCAAAAACATCCGGATGAGGGGCAAGCCAATCACCTCAGCCAGCGACTACGAGATCTCTACTATGTCGGGATAAAAGGCAGCCAGGTTTTTTATTTCAGTTTTCTTTTTATTCTCTATTTATTAGTACCTGGCAGAGGCCCTGGTATTTTAGTTGTTTTCACTAATGTGAAAATGTTGGGGTGCAAACATAACTATCTTCAAGTATAATCACTCTTTCTGTGGGAAATGTTACACATGCAGATTTTATTCAAAATACAGAAAAGATATGCTTGTCAGTGAAGTGTGTGTATTATTAATATTGCTGTCCGTGTATAATGGTAAAGATTAGTTCTTAATTTCTAAATGTAAACTTAATGCCAATATTTATGAGCGTTTTTAAAATAGGCATATATAGAGATCTGATGCTTGGGGAAAAACAAACAACAAAATGGGAAGAACCTAAAATTTAAAGGGACACTGTCAACCTGAAAAGGACCTCAGGTGAAAATAAGTTCCAGGCAACATTCTTGAATCATAATTTTATTTAGTTTTTTTTTTTTTTTTCCAAAGAGGAATGCTTTGATTTTACTTTTCTGAATCTATGAAAGACCACTTCAGTGACACCTGCCTGGCTCCTAACTTCCTGTGCCTGAGACTGGTATGCTCAAGTGAAAGTGAGAAGTCCATCCCAACCTAATGGGTTCCCCAAATCAGGCAAGTGTGGATCAGTGTGATGGTTTCTGCCCATTTGCCTTTGCCAGCTGGGGCCACCAAAGGAAGATCTCCAGCATGACCCTGCCCAGAGCTGTATTCCCAACCAGTGGACTTGGAAGCTTTGCTGGTGTTCTCCAAAGACACTGTATGCAGGTCCCAGAACAGATTGGGAGAGTCTCTTTTCAAAATTTGAAGTCTGTTTTTAAAAGCTTAGGGGAAAAAAAGTATATATGTATCTGCTTCTAAGGCTGGATCTACAGCACATATAGCTTAGTTCTTAAAACTAACCTTTACCACCAACCTATCATATTCTTGTTAGATTAAGAAAATAAAAGCCTGTATTGCATAAGTCTTTATTTACTACAGTGTAAAGCAGCAGTAATGAAATCTGCAAGATAATGTAACTGAATGTTTAAATCTTACTGAGAACACTGTCACTTTATATGAAATGAATAGTATCCTGTATTGACTTACTGAATAATGTGTTGAAATGAAAACTGGAGCACCTGCACTTTGAATCCTTGCTTTTTTATACAGGTATTTGGGATTTTTTTTTAGATTTTGTTAGCTGTTTTTTAATTCATATTTGTTTGTTTCAGGATCATGCCTACATGCCTAATCTTTATTTGCTGTTTTGAGAATATTTTCTGCAGAATACTGTTGATTTTTATACTCCTGTATAATACTGCATCCACGTACCTTGCAGATTTTTTTAGCACAAGCTATGTTTAATTCTTTTGTTTTAAAAGAATGCTTTTAAACTGTCAGATTAAGTGGTTTTTAACCACAAATAGGTAATGTGAACAAATAAAGTACACTCTGCACAGATTTGATTTTTAACTATTAAAGTCATGCTAGAAGGAAAATGAGGTGGTTGTGCTTTATTACACAGACAAATGTTAGTATGTCTCCTGGTAATGGTATGAAAAAACACTGTATGCTGTGGCTGTGGATGGGTTTACAGATGTATCAAATAATGATATTAATCTGAAGCCATGATCACCATTTTGAATGCTACTGCTTTGTTTTAATTTAAGAAGCCAGAGTGGGGGCTTTATTACAATGTCTGGCAGCTGAATAAGCTGCCATGGAAGCCTTCAGCACTAAGAAGGCTTCCGTGCATCTTTAAGTGGACCACTGACCTTTTTAAGTTCTCCAAAACATTTTTCTTTTAAGAGCTAGTCAGCTTTGTTCCCACCCCACCCACAGCAGGGGATGCAGGGCTTGACAAGAATTATTTTGCTCTTGGGGCTCCTGTCACAAGAAGAGGCAGCCACGAGTGGATCTCTGGTCAATTACAAGGTAACTTTTTTTTGTTTTGCTCCAGTGCACTTCCTTACCTTTCTGATCACATCAGCAAAGCTCCCAGGTGTGAGCCCGCTCCTCCTCAAGGATGGCATTGCTATAGGCTGGTGAGCTGATCTTTCCCAGTCTGGTTTGGATGAGGCTGCCCCCCTGATCAGGACACCTGGAAGTTGCCTGTTTGGTGACAAGATCTGCTGTGCCTGCTCTTTAGTAGCAGTGTGGGAGCTGCTGAACAGAAAGCTACACAGAAATCCATGTGACCAGCATACAATGGTGTGAAACTTTGGGGAAAATGATAGTATTTTTAAAGGCCTACTGTATGTACTGTATTCATGCCAGAAGATATGGAGTGAAAAAAAAACAACAAACCAGCAATACTTGAGGGTTTCTATCTCCAGAGTTGTTCTCCAGCTTTTAAATTTTGTTCCTCCTGAGCAAAAATGCTCAGATTTTGAGTTGCCTCTGAGAGTTAACTTCCAGGTCCTTCAAATAAAGTCATTGTTGTGGGGTTTTGGGGGGGTTGGGTTTGGTAGGGGCTTTTTTTGTGCTGTGGATTTGTTTTAAATTAATTTTTTTTTAAGCTTGAGACAGAGCTTCTTTTCAAGTGAAGATTTTAAAAGCAACTGAAATGAAGCAGTAATAAACCTGTACCACTTGTAGCAGCGCACAGCAGCCCATCTGGGAAACAGGACTGAGAACCAAGGACCTCTCAGCAAGCTGGGGGCAAGCTAGGAGGATGGGGGGAAGAACAAACTAGGAGAAAGCTTTCACTCATATCCCAGTGCAGGAAACTGAAAACTGTTCCATTTTCTAGCAGGCCAAAGACACGACTGCTGACAATATTTTGGACTAACCCGTTCTTTATTTGCTACCATTGTAAACATCTCTATTACACAGACATCACAGTACACATTATTGCTTTTACATTGTGGTAAACAGGAATTCCTACTGGTATGCAGCTGTCTAAGCACAGTGTCATAAGAAGAAACTGCCCACAAGGTGTCTTGGGCATGTCTGGGTTGTTCCCAATTCCCCAGAGAAAGACAGTATCTAGAATGGCACAGGAAACACCAGTCCAAGGATGGGTCACCATGGTACTACAGCAACACAAACAGCAATGACAGGAAAGCACAGGCTACATCTTCACCACATCACTAGCAGTATTGTCAAGGGTGCTGATTGCTCAACTCCCACCTAACTAAACACAAACTTTTCCATCATAATTCCTAAAAAAAGGCTAAGTTATTTCTTTTGTGAAATTCTATTTAAACTAGGACAGAAAATCTGGAAAACCAATGGAACTGTGTGTGTGTTTAATTTTTGTTGCATTTTTCAAAGATTGCTTTTTGTTTCGTTAGATGTTGCATTTTTGTTTTGCTTTTCAAAGACTGAAAGTCTGACACTATGTACCTGGGGTGTTTGAATTGGCCCCTTTTGCCCCTTAGGACAAAATGCCCTTTTCTTTACAAGGCTGTATCAGCTGACTGAGGCACAGCCAGTTTGAAAGGATTGTTCCTTTCTTCCTATGTAACACTGTCTTCACATGGCTTTCCAATCAAGTTCTTACCTCTGAAACAACATGTTTACTTAGTGAAAGACTAGACTTTACATTTGCTTGTAGTAAACTCCTGCTTATCTCCAGATAAATTTGTTCATAGAGTGGCACCGTGTTTCAAGCACATACTGAACAACAAAAGTGAAGGTAGTTTGTTAAACATTTGCTACAGGAACAACAACAAATTCAGAAAACCACCCTTTCTCCAGTTTTAATTTTTTTTTACTACTATTGCATAAAAGCTTTCACATAGTGAATGTTTTAAAGAGGCAGCAAGTTAGAAAACTAACAGCACTTGCAAGTTCTAAGATAATCTGTGTTTAAAACATGATGGTTAATAATACTGAGTTTTTATGACTCTTAGAATAACCTGTGAGCAACAAATTCTGATGTTCAAGAATGTATCAACTTGCAGAAAAGTGGCCTACCTCCATTTCCAGTCTTCCATAACCTTAGGATTGTCACGTTACAACAGAGTTAGCAAAAACAGCACTGACTAGTAAAGCCTTGTCCTTGCCTTCTCTAAACACAATTTTACCTATTTCAGTACATTTTCTAGCTACCACCATAACACAGCTAACCTACCAGGGGTGCACACAGGGACAGCCAGGATTAGTCTACACACAGTGAGTGACTCCTAGAAGAGGATTACTGGGCTAGCTGACCATACAAATCCACATGCAAATCCTAACTGGCTCCTGGGAAGGTGCACTGCAGCCTAAGATCAACATTCACCTTAATTACTACATGCAAACTAATGCATTCCCTCTTGTCTCACTCACCTGCTGATGGCTGGCTTTACTGCCACAGTTTGCTTCCCAGACCACCCACTGATTTAGGAAGAAAAAAAAACTAGCAAAGATGCATGTCATTAAAAGCTCAAACTACATTTAACACTAAAGCATCTCAGGTGTGTGGTAGGAACCCTGAGACTCTATGGTTGGGCTTTAGACGCCTCAGCAATAATTAAATGTCA